GGTGTTATTCTCTCTCTCTCAGTCCATCAGTCCTTCAGCTAAGCTGGACGTCAGGGTGTCTGTCCGTACCGACGCAGTTCATAGAAATCATTGTTTCTCCTACAGTTTTGGTCAGAATTGAATCAAACTTACACTGATTATGTAATGGGTCTTCATTCAACGTTGAAGTCATATTTGTTGTTTTATGGACATTTTTACAATAATTATTAATTGTGTGTTGGTCAACCTTGAGTGAAATGGATCACGAGCCAGATGAGCTATCATGTCACTGAGCTTCCAGGTCTCTTCGGGATTTCAATGATCTGGAAAAAATAGCTTAAGAGGCAGTGATTGAAACAGAGCATAGAATTGTTTGCATAGCCTCAAGCAGGAAGAAACAGGCATCAGTCACTACAAAGGCAACTATCTGTACCACCAAAGATGCTCTTTCATCATTTTCTGTTGAAAAAAGTATTGAACCGATGTTCTGCTGACCAATGTGAGCATATGGTCAAGCATGATTTAAATGAGCCATTATAGTGTCCTGTTACTTACTCTGAGCGGTACAGGCACTGAACATCTGTATATGCAGATGGATGAAACACACACAGGACAAAGAATACTCATTAGAGCTGGGTTATAATATCACTCCAAGTGTCTGCTGTGGCCCCATATGCTTGGCCAGAAAGAGTCATAAATTGTGACTTTAACTGAGTATGAGTTCACGGCCGCCCTGCTGTTTCAGACTGTTTTTAGCCAGCTACAAGCAGAGTTCAGTATCTGGGTGTGTGTTCAATGATGTGAGTCTTCATAAAGTCATCAAAATATAAACTCATGGTGTAATGTACTTTCAAAACACGCACACACACACACACACACACACACACACACACACACACACACACACACACACACACACACACACACACACACACACACATATAGAGAGAGAGAGAGTGAGTAAAATGTTACTTGAAATATGAAATTTACACTAACTTTCTTAATGGAAAAAGACCAAAAATCAGTTTTTTTTGGTAGAATACAGATGAACTCTTAAGTAGGAAGTTGTTGTTGTAATGGTCTGGACTTTATTTGTTTTACTTTTTTATTTTTAATTGTGGGGTTGAATTTAACCCTGAACGTGTGCATTTTGACCATCATCCTATTGCTTTATTGAAACGGCAACGAGTGGATGAGTCACCCCTCTAATGGTCTATTTTACTCAAAATGGGACAAAATTATGGAAAATGAACGTCTTGCTTTAATAAAAAGAGCTGAAACCAGCAATTGAGACATTAAACTCAGTAAGAAAATTTTTACTTTACTAACTTGACTTTATTGATTTATATAGCACTCTTCACAGGATATAAAACAAAAAGTGCTTCACAATAACATAAAACAGTACAATTAAACATACAGCACAAATCTAATTAAAAGCTAGTCTAAATAAGTGAGTCTTAAGATGATGTTTAAAAGAATGAATACAATCCAGGCAACGTAGAGATGGAGGGAGAGAATTCCACAACCTGGGGGCCACCGCTCTAAAAGATCTATCACCTCTGGTTTTAAAACGTGCTCGGGGAACTACCAACAGCCTTTGATTAAATGATCTCAGGCTGCGAGGTTCCAAAAGATCAGAAATATAGGCAGGAGCGTCATGATTCAAAGCTTTAAAAGTCAGTACTAAGATTTTAAAATGAATCCTAAAATGTACTGGAAGCCAGTGTAATGAGCGTAAAACTGGTGTAATGTGCTCTCTTGACTGACTGGAGGAGGTGAAGATTCTTTTTGCTCAAACAAAGACAAAGACTGTTACAATAATCTAAGCGAGAAGAAATAAAAGCATGAATAATCATTTCTAACTCAGATTTAGACAAAAAAGTTTGCAGTTTGGAGATGTTTCTTAGCTCAAAAAGACGTCTTAGTGGAGCCGTAATTCAAGTGAGAAATGGGATCGTTTACTTATAAACTTCTATCAATTAGATTGCAACCAGAAGAGTCGCCCCCTTCTGGCCATTTGAATGAATGCAGATTTTGACATTGGCTTCACTACTCAGTGCAAGGCAGTAAGTGATTAAAACGTGGATCTTATATGACATAAAATCACAATTTCGATCTTTACTGTATATTTATTTTTTTATATGGATACAACTGATCATATCACAGCTAAAAACAATAAGTCTCTCAGTAAATTACCTTAGAGTATTCTCAACATCCATTCTAAATTTTAATTAAAAGTTTATTGCGTGACTCTGCAGGTCTCCCCTTTTAGAAGGACATTTTAAAAAGGTAGCTCCATTCACCAGTACTCCTTAATGTCAGGTCAGTAATGCCAGCCTGTGCACTGAAAGAAGTTTTCTAATGGATTCCTCCTTTCATGCACACAGCGTGATGTCTCTCAGCTTCAAATCGAGGTCGTGTGCATGATTTGAGACGAGCAGTAACAAGAAGCTAAATACTACTGTACATCGATTTCAGCTGCATAGCCCCTTAAGTCAGAATAATGGGCAATACAGTTTTATTGCGCCTCTATTTTCATTTCGTTATTGTGTTCATAGTGTCACTCAGAAAAATGCTAAACCGCCGCTCTGGTTAGGGAAAAAAACACAAAGGTTTGTTAAGGCTAGCAAGGCTTAAAGCTCTAGTTACCTAATCATGGCAACAAGACTTTGCACTCACACAGTTCCAGCTCCATTCAGGTGGATAATTTTAAGTGCCTTTGTGCAGTGCTGGGAATGATTCAGTGGCATTTCAGCTAGCTGAAAAAAGGGAAGTACTAAATTGTTCAGCATTTCCCTCCATATGAACTACAGCACTCTGCAGTAAAAAAATCAAATATCAAAAAGCTGAAAACAGCATCTATATGTAAACGTGATGTATTTAAATTTGAATGAACAGACTAAGGATCGCAGCCATTTCTCTGCTACAGTCGCATGAGAACCATTTAAGGCTCGTTCCTAATGTCGATTAAACGGCATCTTAAAGTGCACGTTTTGGTGTTTTGCTTTTTCCCACTTACCCTAAGCTAAGTGTGTTTGTATTCAACCATCCGCATTCTGTAAGCATTTGGATAACGGCGCTCTTTATAACCATTTGGAGCCATCCGCACAGTGCCATGTTTTACTTTCCCCCCTTAGCATCGGTGCTTCTGGAGGTAATAAAACCACCCTCGACTCAGCACGCTTTACAAAACCCAGAGATGGACAAATCTCTGCAGCATCACACCAGAGAGCTCGCTGTCTGTATCTCCAGAATAAACCTTGACATGTAATTCCCCTCACCTTGGCACCTTGGGGCTCTGTTGGTCCTATCAATAAATAACCCATTTAGCTCAGAGGTCACTTCAAACTTCAGCCTTCCCGACACCTTGTACCTGCCAGATTTTTTAAAAATGGGGGGGGGCTGTACTTGATTATTGAGGGAGTTTTTCCTTTCTTTTTTTTTCCTGTCCCCGAGAAAAAGACTGTAGACTAAGCAGGTAGTCAGCATCTGTTTTGGCTCACCTCTATTAGCTTCCTGATTGACTACTGGCACGGCTAACACATTTCCCCGGATTCCCCTCTCGCCCTCCCCTTAATCTCGCATCTATCGCTTCAAATCAAGGCTCAGGTCGCTGTGCCCGTGGGCTGAGGGCATCACTCATTATACTGTGAAGTTTCAATTGCAGCCTGACCCCTTCCATCCAATTTCATGGCTGCTCGTGGTGGGCGAGTGCTCCCGCTGCTCCATTCTGAAACTCTTTAAATGAACCAACCTTTGGCTCAGGGCCGCCACTCATCTCAGCAAGACGAGAGGGAGACGAATTTAGTTCAAATGAATGTCAAGCCTTGTTATTGTAGCTCTTGGTTAATGCGGTTTGGGCACTCAAGAGCCTCGGCTTTCTCTCTTCCCTCTCGTTCTTATTTCGTACATGCTCTCGCACAAATGGTGAGGATTGAAATGCTTCAGTGGGCCGCTAATAAAAAAAAAAACAAACCACCTCTGGCTTTGGAAAATGGAAAGTCTCGATGTAGTCCACTTGGAGCCGTTTGCAGGTCACAGTTTGCCTCTGAGGGGCATTTTTGTGTTTGAAGTTGATGAGTGGCGAAATTTTCAATAACACGCAGTTTTGCTTCATTGGGAAACTGCATCTGTTTCTCTGTAGTGTTATTCTTTTTTTTTCTTAATGAAATAACCTTATAAACACGTCAACTTCCTGCCACGTCTGCAACGCTGAAGCAGACAATCCCTATCAGGCTTCTTAGATTTTCTCTAATGAACCGTGCGTCATATTCCATAATATTCTGTCGCTAGTGGAAATTACATTATTTTCAAGGTGGCTCTTTAATATACACAAACCTGATGATTCTGCTTTCACACTTAAGCGTCTCTGTGATCATCAGACACATTTGTCAGTGTAAAGCAGAACCTTTAGTGTATGATTTTATTTGTAATGTTTCTAGCTAAGTGATGTTTATTTGCCGTGGTTGTTTGTGTGGGATGCCCGTCCCATTGTGCTTCTGTCAGGTGTCTCGACTCGAGCTTCAGGCCACAGTCCTTAATTGAAAGGAGCATTTGGGTTAAAATAAATGCACCTTTGCTCAGCAACTGGCTAATCCTTTGGCATTTTGTTGTGCCTGAGGCTATCTGTTAGCTAACAAGATCACACTTTTTAAAATATTTATAAATCTAATGATGAGTTCAGTGGTACCAGAAGTCACAGTTACAAACAAAATATCCAGACTAATGTAAGATGATTCGCTCTTGTGGTATTTGCACAAAACAAGCTGTTTGCCAGGCATCATGTCAGGATATCAAAGATGTTGCCTGAGCCGTCTTCTAGTTAGCGTAGCTTAGCATAAAGAGTGGAAACGGGGCCAACGGCTAACAGGGTCAAGCACACATACAGACTGTATATAAAATGTCATGTATGTCATGTTTCTGAGCTTTGTTTTTATTAGTTAAATGCAGCATTATTTGGGTTTAGTCAGATTAGAGCTATCTCCTCTGTACTTAAGAATCTGTATTTTTTGTGTCCACAGCCAGTGAAAACTGCCATGACTTCCACCCCATGTTCTTCACCCACGATCGCGCTTTTGAAGAATTCTTCTGTATCTGCATCCAGCTGCTCAACAAGACCTGGAAGGAGATGAGAGCCACAAGTGAAGATTTCAACAAGGTATGCTGCATGCGTGCGTGTGTGTGTCTGTTCTTTTTCTTTCTTTCTTTTGAGGGAGCAGGAAGGTTGAGATGAAGACAAAACATCACAGTATTCATGAATATTATCGGGCCTAGGTTTTGGTTTTGTACTGAGCTTTCCACATAGATGTGTCACAGCTGGAAAAAGCAAGTAAGTGTGCTTGTATATTTCATCATTACTGCAAAGTTCATGCACAGCTCTATTTATTCATTAAGCATGGAGACCTCTTTAGTTTATTACCTCTCAGGCACAAAAAGGCTGATGGGGGATTGTCGGCTAAGTTTGTGAATACAATAATTCAAAATAGAGGCGACATAGGAGCTTCAAATTGATACCCTAGATGCCTCTACTAAAAATCTCAGACGAGTTTGAATGTCATTGACCTTGTTTTCTGAAATCCTTGTGAATGCAATTCTCTAGGAGGACTTTTGAAACTGATACCACAGGTGTGCCTACTTGGAGGCCGAGGGGTAGCACTGCCTTTCGCCAGTATTTTCCTACTGGGATTAAGAAGTGGATTTTTTCATTTAAATAAGAGGAAATCTGGTGTAAGGAGCATCTTACAAAACTTAGCGCACCACTTAAAAATGACAAACATAAATGCTGCAGTTGTACAGTTATCCATGCTCTTGTGATACTCATTATTCCAACATTTACCCAGTTGCACTCAGTTCAATATTCTGCAGCAAGGCTGCTCACTAAGACCTCGTATAGCTCTCATATCACGCCAGGTCTGATGTCGTTACACGGGCTTCTGATTAAATTTAGGATTCAATTTCAGTTCCTCCTCATCTATAAGGCCTTGAGTGGTCTGGCTTCAGAGTATATCAGTGAACTATTAATGCCATATATCCTTTTAGACCCCCTTAGGTCCTGTGAAGTGGGGGCTGATGATAGTAGCCAGTGCTAAACTGAGAACACAAGGAGGCTGTGCATCCCACTGCCGGTAAATGTTGCTAAGATGCGTTTATTTCTCGTAATATGTAAAATAAAACTTAGACACAAAGGGCTGAAAGATGTGACGGATGTGAAAGGTGTGATTTCTCAAACAAGATGCCGCAGATTTAGAAAGGAAGCTTGCACACATGTTGGAATATTTTTCCTGCATTGTTCTGCTCTGGTTCTGGTATAAAACATTAGCTTTCTCTGTTGGCAGAGAGAGCCCATATAAAGGCCCTACATCTTCATTTGGGGATCAGTGGAGTTTGGATGAAGATGACATACTTCCTGTTAGCTGGCTAATGTTGAATCGGCTCACACGGGAAATTTATGTAGGTGCATGGCCAGACGGTGTTGGTAATGAGGTGTTTATGACAGATATTGTATGTTGTGAAGTCAATTGGGCATCAGTTGTAGCAGACAGCAGATGCTCTGTGTCTTTTCTCTAATTTATCAAAGAAGTTACGATTACGTTACAATGTCAAATGCCAAACCGGTACGAGCTTTAGCACTGAAGAAACCAGCCCTTATTTCAGCTCCGAGGGTAGATGCTGTGTGGTTCACTCTACCATAAGCAGACACACACTGTGCTGCATAATGGTGACACTCTAACTGTCAACTCAGACCTCAAGCGGCCCCGAAATATATCTTCAAAGTTTGTTTTTGGTTGAATTTGAATGGAGTTGGTGTGCATGAATAATTGCATCATCTTCAGGTGTTTCGTCGCAGAGTCAAATGATGGAAGACGGCAGTGGGAGTTTCATAAGCCGGTCTCAGTGTCAGCGCAAATGTAACTCGGTGTTCAGATGGAAAATTGATGGAAAAATCTCACGGTCAACTTTCACAGAGGAAATGAGAAGTGATACGGAAAATGTGTCGGTGTTGTTTCCAGACTTGTTTTGATCCACTGCGAGAGGCTTTAGGAAGACACCGTGTTGAGACCGAAACAATAAAAACCTTGTTGACTCCTTTTTAGCATTCGAGCAAATGTCAAAGCCACCTACTGTCGATTGATGTGCTCACCAGCAGCTGTGTTTTTATCTCCAGTTAATTTGACAGCGTGATTGTTCTGCTGTT